CATGTTCTACTCTACCACTCCCATTTAGGTTAAACCATCTCCTTTAAGCAACTTCTCGACCTCTGCTTTTCATACTTGACCTGCTAGAAATTCAACCGCCACAAGACACCTCCCCCCATGTCCTTCCTCATTCTTCGCTGCCCAAATGTTGCCTCAAATCAAAATCCTTACCTGTAGACCTGAACTAATAAATTGCTACCAACTCTAAGCCTCCTAGAAGATCATCCTTCTCGAACCATCAACATTAGAAACACCAACTTGATTCTGACATCGCTACACACCACCTTCTCTTACAATCGCTTCTCAGGCACTATTTCACAACACCCTGCCCCGAAGGCAGTTCCAAGAAGACCATAAAACCGGCAAGCCTTAGTGCGTTCAAACAAGGACGACGACACCATATCACAAATGAGAATTCCACCACGCTTAAAAATATCAAGTCTCGTTACTCCATCAACCAAAGCCTGAACATCCATAGTCCGATTGCCTTTCCTCCGCTGGAATTAAATGTCGAACCTCTAAACCATGCACTGCGAAGTCCTCCTTTCGAGTCATTAAGTGCCTCGACACGTAAACAAGTACCCTACCATTACACCAATAGTGTGCGATAACAATGCATGAACATCATAGCAATCTGTGCATAGCCTCAAAACCATCAGAAATACAGATACTGAGTTGAAACGATAGAACATCCTTCTGCAAGGGGACGATAATATCCTGTCTGAATACGCAGAGAAAAATACCCTGCACCACATCTGCAGTGCCGCTATAACTCCTCGATGCCCAATTGATAACAAGCGCCCCATGTCGCGCAAGATTGAGTAGGAAGGAAATAAAGGCACAAGCCTCAAAGGAATAAATCGCATGATGAGGAATCAAGAAGGGAAGTGCTCCTAATAGCCCTGTAGCCTCTCGAAGATAAGTACACAGGTCTCCGTACCGATCCGCAAGACTCTACTAGACTTGCTCATGACTCGTAAGACCCAAGTGAACCTAGAGCTCTGATACCAAGCTGTCATGGCCCAAAATCCACTATAGGTCATGATGACACCTAACGTCGCCGTTAGGCAAGCCAATTATGAATTATCACATTAGTTGTTCATTTTATTATTTTCATAATCATAAATTTTAATAAGGAAGGAAATTTGCACTTGTTAATCCACGGGAACGTACATAATTAGTAGTGTATAAAAGAAATGAAAGGCGATAATAATATATAAATCTGTAAGCATCAACTAGAATATCCCAAAACTAGATGTCACAAGTGCATGACCATTTACTAGGGAGTACAATAGTAATACAACATCTGTATGGAATGTTAAAGACAGAACAAAGTAAATGGTACGAGGAAGACTCTGTGGGCTGCGATTGCGCAGCCTAGAATGCAGCTCACCATAAAGTCTCCTCAGCAGCTGCGCCTACGACGCGCCAAGATGACCTCCAAATGACATGTCGGATCCTGCACGTTTAGTGCAGAAGTGCAGCATCAGTACGTAAATCAACGCGTACCCAGTAAGTATCTAGCCTAATCCGGAGAAGTAATGACGAGGGGTCGATATAGACACTTACTAGACGTCCAATAAAGCAATATGGTAAATTATAAGCAGATGTAAAGCACAACAATAACAATGGGGTAAAACCGTAAATCCTATAATTTTCTGAAGATTTCTTTTAAAGGTATAAATTTCTCTGTCTCGTATTTTATCTAAACAGCTCAGATATATCAAGTGCCAGAATCAAACGGATAGGGAGATACTATATAAAGTGCCAGGCATCAGTGAAAGGATAGTATCGTGAATATTCTGACTACTAGCGATATAACGCACGATTATGCCGAGGTCGTACAGCCCGATCCAGAATAATATGTACACTACCGAGGGTCGAGCGACACAAACCATAGATGCATCTATTATACTGCCGAGGCATTCGGCCCGCTCCACAAGAAAGGAAAGAAATCATCAAATTACGAGACACGTGTTTACGATGTACATGAGTACAAAGTGAATATAACCTTTACCGTTTCTCAAATAACCTACCAACAACTCAAGGTGATAAGGCAATATATATATATATATATATATATATATATATATTGCTAAATCAATTTCAATATAAATTCAATTAATTAAGCCAACAAAATCAGTTCAAATAATTCAAACATTACATAATAAAGTCCTAGGTCTACTCGGGCATAAATATGCTTTTGCTACGTACGGACTCTCGTCACCTGGTACGTACATAAAATATAACAACTACATCACCTAAGGGGTAGTTTTCCCCTCACAAGGTTAGACAAGAGACTTACCTCGCTCCGAAGTTCAATAACCGGCTCCAGCGCCACTGTAACAGCTCAGACCGATGCCCGTCGCTCCGAAACTAGTCAAACAATGTGCAAACCAATAAAAATATACTCTAATACTCATAATAAATCAATTTAAAACAATTTCAAACTCCGCTCGAAAAGTCAATAAAGGGAACCCTCGGGCCCACATGCCCAGATTCTGAACATTTTCATGGTGTCAGTAAAGGCAACCCTCGGGCCCATATTCCCAGATTCCAAACATTTTCGAAGAAAATAAACTTTACTCATGACACCACGAACTCAAATATATGATTTATTCCCAATTCCATGTCCAATTTCATGGTCAAATTCTAAAATTATCAAATTCTAAGTTTTCCACCAAAATCTAAAAATTCTACAAATTTCCATGTTTAAATCCATATATAAACCATGTATTTAACTCACAATGTAAAGAAATCACTTACCTAGTGATAGGTGACGAAGAAGCTCCTTCAAAATTTCCCCAAGCTCGACTCCCATGGAAGATTGGAGATAAAATGAGCCAAAACCATTTTTTGCAAACTTATACACTGCCCAGGCGACCTTCTTCGCGAACGCGGCACTGCCCTCGCGTTCGCGAAAGTCAACAAACTCGGGAGCAAAAACTCTTCTTCGCGAACGCGAGGTTGGTATCGTGAACGCTGTTCTTCACCAGGCTGCTCTACGCGAACATGAGGCAAGGCCCGCGAACACGAAGACCAAAGCAGCCACTGGACCACCTCCTTCATCACGAATGCGAACATCTAGTTGCAAACGCGCTGCCTTGCCCCCAAACCCATCACGAACGCGTGACAACAGTCGCGAATGCGAAGTACAAAATCTCAGCAGTCAAAAATCCTTCTTCACGAACGCGTGAGTCTCTTCGCGTTCGCGAAGAACAAAACCAGACATTAGCTACCAATAACAGCAAATCCTCCAAATTTGGTCCGAAACTATCCCGAAACACACCCGATGCCCCCGGGACCCTCTCCGATCATACCAACCAGTTCCATAACATAACACGGACCTGCACGAGGCCTCTAATCACACCAAACAATATTAAAACTACGAATCAAGAATTGAAACCTTATTTTAAACTTTCAACATTCAAACTTAGACGAACGCGTCCGAATCATATTTAAACATTCTAGATTGACGCCGAACTTTACGCACAAGTCACTGAGCACGTTACGAACCTATTCCAAGACTCGGAACCCCAAACGGACATCGATATCACCAAAGACCACTTTAAACCACATTTAGGAAATTCTAAAACCTTCAAAATGCTAACTTTCTACAATACCGAAATGCTCCCGGGCGATTCGATACTCAACCCGAACATACGCCAAAGTCCGAAATCCTCATACGAACCTATTGGAATCTTCAAATCCCGATTCCGAGGTCGTTTACTCAAAAGCCAACCCTTAGTCAATTCCTCCAACTTAAAGCTTCCTAAATTAGAATTTTCTTCCCTAATCAACCTCGAACTTCCCAAAATCTAATTCCGACCACACGTACAAGTCGTAATACATGAATTGAAGCTACTCAAGGCCTCAAACCGCCGATCGGCGTGCTAGAGCTAGAAAACGACCGGCCAGGTCTTCACCCTTGACCTTATCACAACACTTGGTCTTGCAGGGTCCAAACGAGCTTACACACTTCTAGACACAAGCAAAAAGCTAACTAGTGCAAAGTATGATCAGACCGGCTCACATGGCAGTCTAAATGCTGATGAGTTGCTCAGTGATCTAAGGAGCTATCAGAAATTAGTTGGGAAGTTGTTGTACCTCACTATGACAAGGCCAAATATCAGCTATGTTGTTCAGAACTTGAGCCAGTTCATGCATAAGCCAAAGAAGTCACATATGGAAGGAACATTAAGGGTTCTAAGATTATACCTGAAGAGTGAACCTGGTTTGGGGATTCTATTGTCATCTCAACCCTCTAGCCAATTCACAGTATATTGTGATGCAAACTAGGCCACACGCCCAATGACTAGGAGATCAGTAAGTGGCATTGTAATAAAACTGGGTGATTATCTTATCTCTTGGAAGTCTAAGAAACAAAGTACTGTGTCAAGAAGCTCTGCAGAAGCTGAATATAGAAGTATGGCCAATGCAATAGCAGAAGTAGTCTGGTTGACATGATTGTTCAAAGAGTTGAACGTGGATTTGAAGCTTCCAGTGAAGCTGTATTGCGACAATAAAGCAACTATTCAAGTTGCTGCAAATCTCATTTATCATGAAAAGACCAAGCATATCGGATAGATTACCATTTCATTCAAGAAAAGATCCAACTAGGCCTCATTCAGACTGCACATATCTCTACAAACTAGCAGATAGCAGATCTGTTAACCAAAGGACTAGGGAAGGCACATCATGATTTTCTATTGTCCAAGCTGAGAGTGTACAACTTATCCACACTACACAGCTTGAGGGGGAGTATTGAGGGTATAGGCACGAAGGTAGTTAAGTAGTTAGTGTATTGAGGGGTAATTATGTAAGTTGTGCATTAGTTAGTTTAGTCGGTCAGTGAATGTATATTAATACTGTAGCTTTGTTTTTAATAAAACAATATTCATTTTCCCTAGTTGAACTGCCTTTCTTCTCTCTTCTAGCTGTGACTAAAGTGCATCCATGGCTGCCTTCAACAGGAAAGCATATTTATGATGCCTCGACCGCAAACAAAAAGCTTTTATATAAATCGAAACAAGCACATAATTTACATATCAAGCAAGATTTTATCTAAAGCAATGCAGAAATGATTCGTCAACTCTGATTAGCTAACTTAATCAAGCTGTTTGAGGGTCTCTTGATTGTAGTATTTCTTCATGGACCAAATGGATACTTTCTATAGGCTGTGTTGCTCTCAATTCCTCAGTAGAATTCTCACTTACGCGGACACTTTCTTCTTGGCTCACTCTCGAATCATTTCTTGTTTCACTTAAGTAGACATTCACATCACTATCTTGGCCATCTGCTGAACCAACTCTGCTCAATTGCACACTGTTTTGGGTTATATGATTCGCTCTCATCTCAAAGTTTAAACTGTTAACGGAATTCCCACTCTCTGGTACCAATATCATCTCTGCTAATTCAGCAGTTTCCGCGTTTATTACCTGCCTGCCACTTTCGCTAAATCGGCTACTTTCTCCTCCAGATATGGATCCACCAGCAGTAGCTCTGCATATTGGGCAAATGGAGATTTTCAAGAGCCACATATCCACGCATTCAGCATGAAAAGTGTGATTGCACTGAGGCAATAACCTGCACTTATCACCCACCTTGAGATTATCCAAACAAACTGCACATTCAACTGGACTAGTTCCCTTATCTTTGGACTGAAAAGCATAGGAAGGAAGCTTTTCTATATCCTCATGGGACATGCTGTTGCTCGCTAAGCTGCCTCTTTCCACTATGTTAGTAGTTCCAATTCCTCTTCTGTAAGCTCTCCCAACAATACAGACATGAATTAGGACCAGAATTCCAATCCCCACAAAGAGCAGTATCATTGATATCGCGATCGTCATGATTATATAACCTGCCTGGCTATGCTAATACATAGTTATTCATCTCATCTTTTGCTCCAACTGTAAGAAAATTATCTCAAGTAATGAAAACCAAGAACCAGTATAAGAGGATATTAATACATTGGCTCCTCAGGTTCAAGAGAAATGGAGTTCTAACATTCTTAAAGGCGCTGAAGATTGCGACTGCTGGAACGTATGGTTCTAGTTTTGTGCAGAAAAAGTCTTAAGCAATGAATAACTGGAGGCGCATGTTCCGTGGGGTTAAAGTTTATTTGACTTGTGGAGTTGGTGAGGAATATACAAACATTGTAGTTGTTGCAGTACATTAAAGTATTAATAAAGCTAGGACAGGAGAAACTTATCTATTTATCATATTCCTATCATTTCTTCGAATTAGGTCATTTGTTTGGAGTGTAGAATGACCACGGAAACCTACATTCAACGTCTTTGTAGGGCTGTGATGTATTTGGCTAATGAGCTTTTCTCAAAAAGCGCCTGTTCTCTGTAGTTTTCTATTTGTAGTTTCGTTCCGAAGTAGTTGTTAATTTAGACTATACTTGGACACAAGAAGGGAGGTTAAATTGTGTTTTGCCTGATTCTTGCATTTTAAAGAACCTGGTTCTTTGAACTAGTTCAACACACTCAAACAAGAATAATTTCGGAAAAGTAATCAACACATAGATTTTTACCTGGAAAACCTCCTTGCTCAAGGGATTAAAAACCACGACCTACCCAATATGATTTTCCTCGAATCTCCACTAACTTCAGAGAGAAGTTTTTAGGTTGAAACTCAATAACTCTAGTACCCTAACCCCTATAATCAACCCAATTGTAGCAACCCCTTTCCAGGCCAACTCTACTCTAGAAAGCTAACAAACAACAAAGTTTCAATAATAACCTTTACACTTCTATGAAAGCAGATAGGTTACAAATCAGAACAAAAGACTCAACCTAACAACAAAAGAACTCGAGCAACTTCATCTTCAAGAACCTGTTCTTCAGTTGATTGAGTTGGATCATCAGAAGTACCTTGTTGCTTTTCTTGCTATTGTCAGAAGTATTCTCGTGATTCTCTCAATAGCAACAGTTTTGAACTATGGCAAAAGGTCTTCTTTTATAGGTGCAACGTTGGGCAAAATCCTTCTTCAATTAATGCTCCAAAACCTAAAATATTTCGGTTAAGAAAATCCTCTCCCGTTTAGGCTTGGTTTCCATATTTGACTCCAACTTGCATCCTTCTCACTTCCCTCGAGTATTCTCCATATACGCACATTCCCTTTATTACACGAAGTCCTCCCAAACGCGTATTCCTTTTTGGACACGAACAAGATCTCTGAAATCCCTACTCGCATCTGAATGCTGGTCTTAAGCATCTGACTTGCTGACTTCAGCTCCTGCTGTAAACCTGGTTCTTTTGACGTTCAATATACTCATCTTGTCTCATCTTCACAGCCGCCTAGCAATGTGTCAAACTCGATCCTAAAACCCGGTTCTTATCATAGTTTGTTAATCATCAAAACACAGTATGTTGTCATGTCAGCTCAACAATAGTTGACCAACCCACGATGGATAAAGAAAGGTTTTTCAACAAGCAAAATATTTTTTTAAGTAAAGAATGAAGCTACATCAGATAAACAACCAATTAAATGAAACAACGGATGATATGTTACACTAATCTAGACTGTATATTTACAATATCATGTCAAATAATCTAGAATGGACCTTTTTCTTAGATCAACTGTTAGCGCTACTCAGTAACTCCAGAGGAACTAGCTTGTAACAAACATCCTTGGGCACCATGAAACAAATCTCCTCGAATTTGATAATAATGCATCGTCTTTAGATATTGATATAGCAAACAAACAATAGTGGTCAAGGTTATACCTATGTATAGGGTCTAAATCGGAGAGCTCGATTTCGGAGACTTGATCATACCCCGAGCTCGAGTTCGGAAGCTCGAAGTAAGAATCGAGCCTGGCCAAGATGTGCGCACCTCGAGAAGCAAATCAGAGACCCGTCATGATCTTCCTCGAGGACAGTACAATTTCAATGACACTCAAGAAAGAGCGGAAATTTTTCAAGGACACGTGGATCAGGGCATAAATTAAGGGATAAGATTTGTACGAAATAGTACGAGTCCGTACTAGGTTGTTATACAACTGTACCAATAGAATTCTTTACCATAATTGAAAATGTACCATATTAGGGTTTTTCCCTTCTATATAAAGGGGACCCCAATCATTTATAAAGATCATCTCATTCACTGCAATAGAACATTCTACTCTGCTTTTCTCGTTTACTGTGCTCCACAATTGTTGTTCAAGCTTCATTATTTTTACTTTATTGTTCATACTTTATTTGCTCTTAACTCATCTCGAAGCCCCCGAGATAATCGAGCTCGAGGTACCCGTTGCTCTAACAACTCTGGTTTGGTTCATCAATTCTTCTTACATAAACCTAATATTACTTGTATATTCACTAGTATTGGAATAAATTACATATCTTTAAAACCACAAATCACCTTTAATAGTCACTCACATTTTTCGAGGTAAACAGTTTGGCGCCCACCGTGGGGCTAAAGATAATAGTGATTATTTTAGTGCTAGTTTTTTGATAACACACGTTATTCTTCACACTTTTTCTTGTCAAAAATTCTTTGATTTCAGGCTAAGATATGCCTAGCTCAGCAAACGCAACCGTGCATGGAAACGACGATCTCGGATCCCATGGAGAAAACAATACAACAACTGCAGGGACTGGTGTGCCACCGCTAAACCCTGGGGTAGCACCAGCGCCGGACCCCGTCGATGTTGGTTCACACATTGCCATGAACGTCGATTTGGACACTGATGTGGAAGGAAATGCACACAGAGGGGATCAACCTGACGCTCAAAGGACACAGGCTCAAGGAGAAAGAGAAGTTGTCTACAAGTGATTTTTGAGATGTTGCAAGCACAACAAGTTGCTATCGCCCAGTTGCAGAGTCAGCAAAAGACTCCGAGCGTGTCTGGGCCAGAAACCGCTCATCCTGTTGAGCCAACCCTGGAAAGATCAAGCAACAACGGCTCGGGAACTATCTCGAGGAACTCACGAAGTGGATTGAGTCAGGAGAAAAAAGCATTGAGGACAACGACAAAAAGGTGGAAATATACAACTCGAGGGTCGACCAAATACCGGGATCACCTCTGATTTTGAAGGACTGGACTCAAAGAAGTTCGTGCAAAAACTATTCCCCCAGAGTGCGGCTCCGAAGACCATCCCGAAGAAGTTTCGGATGCCAGACATCCCAAAATACAACGGGACCACTGAGCCCAACGAGCACATCACCACATATACTTGTGGGATAAAAGGAAATGATTTGGAAGATGATGAGATTGAGTCTATTTTGCTAAAAAAGTTTGGGGAAACTCTGCCTAAGGGTGCCATGATTTGGTACCATAACTTACCCCCGAACTCTATTGATTCATTTGCTATGTTGGCAGACTTATTTGTAAAGGCACATACCGGTGCCATAAAATTTGCAACAAGGACGTCCGATGTATTCAAAATAAAGCAAAGGGAGAACGAGATGCTGAGGGAATTTGTCTCCCGTTTCCAGTCAGAACGGATGGAGTTACCACCGGTCTCCGATGACTGGGCCGTACAAGCCTTCACTCAGGGGCTAAATGAACGAAGTTAGATAGCTTCGAAGCAGCTGAAGCAAAACTTGATCGAGTATCCCGCCGTGACTTGGGCGGATGTGCATAACAGGTACCAATCAAAAATTAGGGTCGAGGATGACCAGTTGAGAGCCCCCTTGGGCTCAGTTTATCCAAGCAGGTTACTAGCAAAGGAGTCAGGAAATGCAGACAGTGGGTCAAGGTCGAATAAGGAAAGATATCAGCCATACGTCGTGGATCGAAGGAACATTTCAACGCGTAACATACCTCGGAATGATCGAAGAGCAGATCGAGGTCAAAGTTCCCGGGGACTCATGAGCAAAATCGGGTTTGATAGGCACTTGGGACCGGTAGAGGCACCCCGATTATCGGAGTACAACTTTAGCGTCGATACCTCGGGTATTGTCTCAACCATTGGCAAAATTAGAGATACTAGATGGCCCAAGCCTATGCAGACCGATCCTTCTCAGAGGAACCCCAACTTGATGTGCAAGTATCATGGTACTCATGGGCATAGGACCAAGGATTGCAGGCAACTTAGAGAGGAGGTAGCTCGGTTGTTCAACGAGGGGCATCTTCGTGAATTTCTCAGCGACCGGGCCAAGAACCATTTTCAAGAAAGAGATGCGAACAAGAAGAATGAACCTGAAGAACCTCAACATGTCATTCACATGATCATCGGTGGAGTCGATGTCCCAAAGGGACCTGTATTCAAACGTACCAAAGTATCCATCACAAGGGAGAAACGGACTCGGGACTACATGCCCAAGGACACCCTCACATTCAGCGAAGAAGACATCGAGGCCTTATCTCAGCCTCACAACGATGCACTGGTAATTTCTATCCTTTTTAAATAAAGTTCAAGTTAAACGTGTTCTTGTGGATAAAGGTAGTTCGACAAATATAATCAGGTCAAGGGTCATGGAGCAGCTCGGGTTGCTCGGTCAAATCATACCAACATCTCGAGTCTTGAATGGCTTCAACATGGCAAGTGAAACGACGAAGGGGGAAATCATCCTCCCAGTCAACGTGGCCGGAACCATACAAGACACCAAATTTCATGTCATCGAAGGTGACATGAGGTATAATGCTTTGCTTGGAAGGCCATGGATCCATAGCATGAGGGCGGTGCCATCGACCCTTCATCAAATGATGAAGTTCCCAACAAAGGATGGTGTGAAAACAGTATATGGAGAACAACATATAGCTAAGAAAATGTTTGCAGTACACGACTTGGCACCGGAATCGACACCATCCACATCGGAAAAGTCAAAAGACAAACAGGTGGCCAAATAGCAATCACAGCCCATACCCTCGGTTGAGCCCGAGGGACAGGTGGTCGAGGACGAAGAAGAAGATTTCCTCATCCCCCGAGCCTTCGTTGCCCCCGAGGAATCGGATGCGACGAAGCCCACGGTCAAAGAACTCGAGCAGGCCATATTGATCGAGCATCTTCCAGAACAAAAAGGTATACCTGGGGACGGGGTTAACCTCCAAACTCACGAAAAAACTCATTCAATTTCTTATCGATAACATTAATTGCTTCGCCTGGTCCCACTTAGATATGATAGGGATCCCACCGGAATCGACT